GCTGTAGGAGCTCAGGCACCACACTCACATACCCAAACAAACACGTATGTATAGATTGAAAAGCAAAAGAAAAGGCAGCTTCCCTGCCCTCCTAGTCCTGGTCTCCAGCCCTTCTCAGCACCAGGGTCCTGCTGCTCTACCCTCTAGATCATCATGGACTCCAGCATCTCGAAGCAGGCTCTGAGTGAGATCGAGACCAGGCACAGCGAGATCATCAAGCTGGAGAGCAGCATCCGGGAGCTACACGACATGTTCATGGACATGGCCATGTTGGTCGAGAGTCAGGTGGGTCCCTCGCCCCTGATGCTGTGACCTCTGGCTCTCGGCAGCATCCAGGGCCACACTAACCCCTTCCCTTTCCACCCAACACGCTGCCCTGGCCGGGAGGGACAGTGTCTTCAGGTAACCGTAGACTGTCGTTAGGGCCTCCGGGGATCCTGCTGCATGGCTTTGCTTGGTCCCCCAGGCCCTGCATGGCTCCACTCCTCACCCCAGCCCTGTCCTGGCTTCACAGACTCTGACAGCGGCCACTGTGGACTGGCTGCCTTGCCAGGAGCAGGAGGCAATGAACAAGACAACTGAGCATTGCTTACAGGAGTAGAATGGCATTTGGGTGAGAAGGGGTTAGCACAGCATCTAAGTAGAACAAATGGAATATTCCCTGGGGGAGCTCAGGAGAGCCCTAGGTTCAGCCAGTGGCTTGTGAGCCCCAGGAGACCTGAGATAGTTATGAATGAGGCCTAACACAAAATCACAAACTAACACTTGATTGTGTGTTTGCACAGGTCTGTGTGTGCACAGGTGTGTGTGTGTGTGTGTGTGTGTGCGCGCCTCATTTCTTCTAGACAAGAACTCTCACTGAATCTGGAGCTCACCAAATCAGCTAGACTGGCTGCCCAGTGAGCTTCCAATCTTCATTCCTGGCTCCCGTAACTGGGGTTAGAAGCATGGGCCTCTATGGCTGGCTTTTTACAGGGATGTCTTTTATAAGGGATCCAGACTGAAGTATTTGTCCGCTGTGCCGTCTCAGCCCAGTTTCCTGACTTCTACTGCAGGTTTTCTTTCCTTTCTTTTTCTTCCCCCTTTGAGACAACATCTTGCTATGTAGACCAGGGTGAGGTCCAACTGCTTCTGCCTCGAGCGCTGAGATGAAAGACTGTGCCCAAGTCCTAACACAAATTCAGAACCTCATCCACTCCTGGCTGCTTCCGCTCCTCTCAAAGGGACCAGCTAGGAATGACTCCCAGGAGAGATGTGGAATGGTCCCTGACTGAGGGACCAACTGTACCAAGGGCTCAGCAAGAGGCTAGGCTTAAGGAGACACAGGGAATGGGACACAGGAAGTGGCCAAGGCCAAGCCAAAGTTGGAGACAGATGAGTTGCTAAAACTGTTGGTGCCAAATACCATGAGGCTATCCGTTTATTTATTGACTCTTACTGGGTGTGTTTTGTTTTAGAGACAGGGTCTCTTATGTGCCATGCCAACCTCAAACTGGATTTGTAGCTGAAGATGACTATGAACTAAGAAAGAAATATTATTTTAATGTGTTGTGTGGGTGTTGTGTCTGTATACACATCTGTGTCCTATGTGCCTGGGCCTCATGAGGCCCGAAAAAAGTGTCTAACCCCCTAGAATCAGGGTTATCAATTGCTGTGATCTGCCACGTGGGTGTTGGGAGTTGAACCAGTGTCCTCTGCATGAGCTTCCAGTGCTCGTAAACACTGAGCCATGTATCAGTCTAACCTTGAACTTTTTATTTAAAAAAGACCTTTTCGAATCTCTGTGTGTGTGTGGGTGTCTGTCTGTCTGTATGTGTGTGTGTGTGTGTGTCTGTCTGTCTGTCTGTCTGTGTCTGTGTGTCTGTCTGTGTGTGTCTGTGTGTCTGTGTCTATTTGTGCTTGCAGGAGTCAGTTCTCTCCTTGGATTATGTGGGCCAAGGGTTGAACTCAGTCTTGGCGGCAATCAGCTTTATCCCCTGAGCCATCTCACGTCCTGGACTCTTGTCCCTACTTCCCAAATGATGGGATCTTAGGTGTGCGCCACAGTACCAATTGACTGGTGCTGGAGATCAAACGCGGGACACCTTGTATTCTAGACAACCACCATAGCAACTGAGCTACATCTCCAGCCTTCTGATTTGAGACAGGGTTTTCCTTGGCTGGCCTCAAACCTGTAGTGACCCCCCCCCTCAGCCTCCTGGGTGCTGGGATTACAGGGCTAAGTCACCACCTCTGGCTTTGTTGATGCAGATTTTGTTGTTGACTTTTAGTTTTGATTTTGTTTTGTTCTCTTGCCTTTGTGAGACAGTCTTGCTGTTGAGCACAAGCTTGGCTTTGAACCCCTGCTCCTGGCTCAGCCTCTTCAGTGCCAGAATTTTAGCTGTGTCTCCACACCTGGCTCTCTTGAATCTTTGCTGCTGTTTGGTTTTGTCTGCTTTGGTCTCTTTTTTTCTTTTTGAGGGATTGTTGTGTGTTGTGTGATTTCTTTTTACCGTTGTAAGAAAAGGACTTCCTGTGTAACCCTGGCTAGCCTTGAACTCCGATCCTCTTGCTTCCTCAACTTCCCAAGTGCTAGGCTCATAAGTCATGCCTGGCTGGACGAGGGGTTCAACGGGTAGACGTGACATAACCTTAAGCAGTGGGGAGGTCTGAGGGAGCTGCTGCTGTGTCTTGGTGAGAACCTCTGAGAAGGTATGAGACCTAAACAGAGACACAGCATTGCTGTGAGTCTTGTGCGGCGATGTCACAGTCAGATGAAGAGCATGGGACCCAAAGAGAACTGTGGGGCTGGCCAGAGGGTCTCAGAGTTGGAGGATGGCTGACATTAAGAGCTCTGTGAAACTGTCCCCCTAAGGAAAGAGTGAGAGGCTTGCCCGTGGTCACCTGGTAAACCTCGGCCAGGGCAGGCTCAGCCCACCCACCCCAGCCCTGCCCTTGCCTGGCACTGTCCACTTCCTAGGCGCACAGCTGACTACCCTCTGCATGGTCCCCACCCTTGCCTGAGACTGCATGGCCAATTCCGCCCCCAGGATGGGAAAGGTGGCTCTGCTCCTGGCATGCCTTAGTATTCAAGATTCCCTGGCCAGGTGCCTGGCCTGGTGGCACAGTTGAGACGCTCCCTGCCCTCCTCACGGCTCTCCCCTTTCTCTCTCTCTCTGACTTCAGGGGACTTTCCTGAATCCCTCCCCCGAGCTCCCTTCTGGTTCCGAGGAAGGAGGCCTGGACCTTGGGTACCCCTGGTCCTGCAGGGGGAGATGATTGACAGGATCGAGTACAATGTGGAACACGCCGTGGACTACGTGGAAAGGGCTGTGTCTGACACCAAGAAGGCTGTCAAGTACCAGAGCAAGGCGCGCAGGGTCAGTGACCAGCTCTGTCCGAGCCCATGGCCGGGGGAGCCCCCAGACTGTGAGACACTACTCCCCACGTACCTCTGTCCCGTTTCCAGAAACTCCAGCCATAGCCTTCACCTCTCCATCACCTACCCTTAGTCCTGACCCTCCAGATCTCAGCCCTCACTTTGCTGATTTCTGACTGTGGTTTGTCTCATATGTGGGATGGAACCCAGGATCTGGTACGTGGCAGATGAAAGCTCCATTGCTGAGCTGTATCCCCAGCCCCTCACTGGGGGGTTCTGGGCCCGCATGCTATCACCCAGCCCCTCCTTTACTGTGCCCCGGCTCTTCTGAGGCCAGCCCTCTGTGTCCCCGCAGAAGAAGATCATGATCATCATTTGCTGCGTGATCCTGGGCATCGTCATCGCCTCCACCATCGGGGGCATCTTCGGGTAGAAGCCAGCCCCACCCACCTCTCCACTCTGGATGGGTCTCCCTGAGGAGGCCCCTGGCTGCTGCGCCTAGCTGGGTTGCCCTCCCCACCCCTGCCTTCTGGCTGGGAGCCCCTCCCCTCCCGCCCGCCCCACACTGCTCCCTCTCTGCCATGAGGCTCCCGTCCCCACCACCCGGCCCCAAGCCGTGTCGTGTGCATGATCTTGTGACAGTGTGTGTCTGTACAGGAGGCAGAGGGGAGCGGGATCAGGGCCAGCCACAGGGGCTGGGGACAGGTCGGTGTGGGCAAGACTCGGGCCCTGCCAGGTCCGCCTTCCTTTAGGCCTGAGGTCCACCCTTCCCTGGGACTCGGGCTCCTTTCTGGACCCCAACCTTGCCCTCACCTGCCCTGCCCTCTGGCTTCTCCAGCTCTCCCCGCCATGCCAAGGCACCTGGAGGGTGGGGACCCAGCTGGTCACATGGTGCTGCTTTTCAGGTTAGGGGAGAGGTGTCCCAGGGGATAGATAGCCCAACACTGAAGTCTTTGTTAGCTTACCACTGCCAGGAAGCTCAGGGTGCCACGGGTGCTGGTGTGTTCGAAGCACCCAGTACCCCCACTTTGAGCAAAGCCTGACAATGTCTCTGGTGTCAGCTGCCCTTACCGCAGTCCTGGGAGTCATGTCCCTGGGCTGGGCCTGAGCCTAGGGAACTTGTGCAAGAAGCTTGCTGGTGCCCTCTGCAGCCTTGCTTGGAGCTGAGAGGTGGGAGCGAGACCTCAGGGCTCTGCCCACAGTCTCTAGCAGGCATGTTGAGTCTCGGCCAGAGTTGCATGTTGGGGACAGCGGTCCCCTGGTGTGTTAATGCTTTGAAAAGCCAGGTGTCACGTTGGGCCTGCGGTCTCACCCTGCCCTGTGTCCCACTGATGTGCCACGTGGTGTCAGGTGTATGGATGCAGTATTCAGCAGCCAGCCGGGGAAGGGGACTCCCCACTTCCCTCCCCTGCCATCTGGGGGCTTCTCAGCGTCAAAACTGTACCCCCTGCCCCAGGAACCCTTTCTCGTTCCCAGGCGAGGAGTGTGCGTGCATGCGAGTGCATGCAGCGGGGGTTGGGGCCGTGTCCGCACCCCCCATCCTCAGCTTCGCTCCTGCCCAGTGACTGTGACCACTGTCCGTGACGCCTTCTCTCATGGCCGCCTCCCCCACCCCTTCACCAAAGGTCTTGGTACAACCAGCTGCCCATTTTGTGAAATTTTTATGTAGAATAAACATTTGTATCTGTAGTGAGCCTCTGTTTGGAACTTTCTTTCTCCATTTGCGGCGTAGGAGATATGGAATCAACCGTGTAGGTGCTGAAGGCGGTCGGCTGCCTCTGCCTGGTCAGTGGGTAACATCTGGGCTTTTCTGGGAGTCCCAGAATGTCCCCTTACCTAGGGGAGAGCCAGCGCCTTTGCTCATCAGAGGCATGGCTTCAGATTTACCTTTATGACTGTTTTGCCAGTGTGCCTGGGGCCGGCAGAAGTCAGGACAGTGGGTTGGATCCCTGCAACTGGATTTATGGGTGGATGTTAGCTGCCTGCCATGTGGGTGCTGGGAACCAATTCCAGTTTCTCTGCACAAGCAACAAGTGCTCTTAACTGCTGAAACCATCTCTTCAATTTTTTTTTTTTAAAGACGGCCTCACTAGGTATAGCCCTTGCTGTTCTGGAACTTACTAGGTAGACCACACTGACTTCAAATCCAGAGAAATCCACTGCTTTGCTCTGCTGCCCTGGTGCTGGGATTAAAAGGTAGTGCCACCGTAAGACTTGAAAGGCTTACTGGTAAAAAGATCAGTGACTTAAACGTATGCTGACTTAGCCGGGCGGTGGTGGCGCTCGCCTTTAATCCCAGCACTCGGGAGGCAAAGGCAGCAGATCTCTGTGAGTTCGAGACCAGCCTGGTCTACCGAGCGAGTTCCAGGACATGGTCCAAAAAACAATACAGAGAAACCCTGTCTCGAAAAACCAAAAAAAAAAAAAAAAAAAAAAAAAAAAAAGTAGTGCCACCATGCCTGGCTGTTTATTTACGTCTGTCATGTGAGGGCAGGTGCCTGTGGAGGCCAGAAGAGGGCGTTGGATCACCTGGCACTGGAGTTACAGGTGGTCATGTGGGTGGTAGAAACTAAACTCAGGTCCTCTGGAAGAGAAGTACATGCTCTTGACCACTGAGCCATCTCTCCAGCCCTTTTAAAAAGTATGCATGTGTGCCTGGGCGTGTGTGCATGTGTGAGGAGATCAAAGGACAACTTTGGGCTTTGGTCCTCACCTACCTTGTACAAGGCAGGATCTTATTTTGCTCTGGGGATCAGAGCTCCTGCCCTCCCAGCTGTGGAAGTGTTTGAAGCAGAAGTGCTCTTCCCAGCTCTTGTATTGTTGTATTTAAATTTCTGGGTTCCCCTTGTTCTGCTCGATTATTTGATTTAGTTCGCATACAGGGCAGGATCTTTGGTCTTTTGTTCACTGTGTATAGCTGACCCAGGGGTTTCAGGGAATTGTCTAACTAGCGGCATTTCTGCATCCAGCTTCCCCTGTGTTCTGGGAATCTGAACCCCTCATTCACATGGCAAGAGCTGCATCCACTGAGCCAAGGCCTCAGGTCTGGTCCCTGGGAGATGCCCCTCACCCTCCCTTATCAGCACCTTCCTGCTATGCCACGGCCAGGTCTCCCTCCTGGGGCTCATAGGATATATCCATCAAATATCGTCAGCCTGGTGGACGCCACACACCCAGAGTAGGATCTACGATTGTCCACATGGCCTGAGGCTGCCAAGTTCCCACCTGAGGCAAGGGACTTAGAGCGGCAGAGACCGGAGGCAATGGGAACCTCCAGCACCCGAGCCCCATTCCCATCCTTGCATGACATCATGACATGAGAGATGGGTCCTGATTCAAGGGACCCACCTGTGCCTCTCAAAGGTGCAAGGGTGCTTCTGTCCATTCCTGGTCCATGCAGCGGTCCCCAACAGGAACCTGAGATACAGGGTATACAGAGCCAGGGAGACCAGTTACTTAGAAAGTAATTTAATATATTTAAGACAAAATAAAACATCCTTAGAATTTTTTTTCTTTTTTTTTTTTAAGACAGGTTTTTGCTGTGTAGCTCAGACTGACCTGGAACTTTCCATCTTGCTGTCTCAGCCTCTCAGGAGGGTGTTGGGATTACAGGATCTGGGCTGCCAAACCCAACTCCCTGAAACCCTTTTAGTGAAAAAATATTTTGAGAAATTCACAACTTTTCTAAAATACTATGTTGCTAGCTGCTGAGGTAAACAGTTCAATCTAGAAAATTCCTCAGAGGTAGTCCCGGATTGGACAGCTCCCAACCTCTGAACAGAGTGGGTGGCCAGGGCCGTCTGCAGGGCTGGATGCAGGTGTGGGTGGCCAGGATCTCCACTTGATTAGATCCAGCACCCTCAGAAGCGGGGCTTTCGCTTGCGGCCCGTGTACTGGGTGTCAGGTCTGACCTCCTTGCCCTGGCGCCTGCGCCTCTCCTTCTTCTCCAGGACCCATTCCCTGCTCTTCTTCAGCAGGTCCCGCCGCGCCCTCTTGTGTGGGGCCCTAGAAAGAAGCGAGAGGGTGGCTAAGCTGTGGGGGGGCAGCTCTAGAGACCCCTTCTTCCCATCTATAATCCCCACTCTGGATACCTCTGCAACAGGACCAGAACCTGGTTTAGTAGAGCTGTGGGGCAGTCCCTGTCCCTGTAAGGTATCACCGGGTAGATGGCCTTGTGTCTGGCACACACCTTGTCCATAGGGTGACTCCAGGAAGGAGTAACCCAAGAGCCTGGTGGTGTCCAAGGAAAGCCATGGTACCTGCACTGTCCACTGATGCCACTTAAGGTCTTTGTCGGGGTTGGGGTTCAGTGTGCTTAGAGGGAGCCAGTGTCATACCCCCACACCCGTCCCCTGCCCATCGCCAGCTTCTGTCAATGTCGGAGACCGGAAAACAAGGCCGCCTGCTCGTGGCAGTCCTGACGAAGCTTTTCCTCACAGATTGATCTTGGCCTCCAGCCCTCGCTGAGGAGGAACGTGATTCCCCACAGCCCAATGGACAAAAGGCACAAGGAAGAGAGGGAGCCCGCTCACACAGCCACAGCCACATTCCTATTGGCTGCTGGGATGAAGCGATCCGGCCTAGCTGGAGGGAGAGTGGCTGGCTGCTTCCTGAGTACAGGCAGGAGCCATGACTTAGCCTTGTCAAACCCTCCCCTAGCAGAGCCAGGGCAGGGGTCCAAGAGCTGCTCAGCATGTATGGCAGGGGCTGGGCTGTGTGCAGCAACCCAGGCCACCAGCAAAGAAGGGCAGCCACAGGAGGCCAGAAGGGAGCCATGGGAGGAGAGAAAGAGCACCCTCGTTGGTCGGGAAGTACGGAGCCTGCCCTCCTCCGTGGGCAGGGGAACAGCAGGAATCAGCGAGTTTACAGCAGCAGTGACAGACATGCACACTAGGGGTGTGTAAGAATGCTTGCGACAGGAACCCGGACAGCCCTTAGTAGCCAGGAAGAGGAGGGAAGAAGGGACTGAGTTGAGTGGACTGAGGAGGAAAGGGAAGAGGGCTGGGACCACCCGGAAGAGCAGGGACAGCGCTGGTAACCACCCCATTCACAGACACCAGTGTGAAGCCAAGGGACCCTAAGATGCATGGAGGGACTGGACACCTTGTACTTCTCTGCAAAGCCAAGTAGAAACATCTAGAAGAGTCCCAAAGCTCAAAGGGGAGTGAGCAGGGGAGCTAAGAAAGCAGTGGCCAAGGGTCAGGGCCAGGCGCTGTCAGGAGACAGCAAGAGCAGCAGATCCAAAGATCATTCAGAGCACATGGACACTGGGGGCAGAGTATAAATGGGAACGTGTTGTGGAACAGAAATTTGTCTAACTAATAAAGATGCATTGCATTTGTTTGTGTTGCAGAATAATAGTTTAAGTATGTAAAGATGTGTCACATTGGTTTGCTGCTTGGTTTGTTTATGAAAAGATGTGGTGCTGTTTTCCCTGGCCTGCCTCAGGCACCTGATTGGTCTAATAAAGAGCTGAGACCGGCCAATAGCTAGGCAGAGGAGGGAAACGTGGGGCTGGCAGGCCAGGGCACAGCAGGCCGGACAGTACTAAATGATCCCCGAGGCCATCATAGATTAGCAGAAACGGGCCAATTTAAGTTAAAGAAGCTATCTAGAAACAAGCCTACATTAGGCTGACCACTCATAATCATCAACAAGAATGTGTCCAAGAAAGTCTGCTACAGGAACAAGATGCAAGTCACTAAATGCAGGCAACAGAAAGTCACCGAGGTGGGTGAAAGGAAATGGCAGTGACCACAGGCGCCAGGAGTGACGGGGCTGGGGCGGTGACACCATGAGGAGACCTGCTTCTTCATAGTAAAACAGCAACAGGAACAGGAGCTTGCTACATAAGTAGCCTGGCCCTGAGCCTTGGCTACTGCTTTCTTAGTTCCCCTGCTAGCTCCGCACTGGGCCCTGGGACCAGGCGTCCAGTCCCCTCCATGCATCTTAGGGTGTCTCATCCTAACACTAGTGTCTGCTGCTGACGGTGCTCTCTGTGAGCTGTGGGAACAAACTGTGAGCTATGTGTGTGGACAGCAATGACTCTAGAGGGTAGAGAGGAGGATGCAGGAGCCAGGGAAGGCTGGGACCCAGGCTGTAGTTCAAAGTGCCTGGGGGAAGCGGTGTGGAGAAGGGGCGTTTGCAGGCTCACACAGGAAGCTAAGGGGCGTGGCTGTCCCAGTTCCCAGCCTGAGGAGGATGCAGATGTAGCCCAAGAGGCACAGCTGGTTCTGACATCCTTTGGGCACAGCAGCCGTGTCTAACCTAAGGCTCGGGTGAAAGCGGAGAGAAATGCCCAGGTCCTTGCCTGGTCCCCGCACCTATGCACCTTACCTCTCACTGGTGAACGCGAGCTCAGTGGCCTGGTCTGCATCCTGGCTTTCAGTCAGCCCCTGTGGAGACAAAGCTCCTAAGTCACCTTGGCACTTACTGCCCCAACACAGACATATGTGCGTCCAGGCCCAAGTAACCCAGCAGGCCTGAAAGTCGACTACAGGCTACAGGGGTTGGCAGTCCTTCCCAGACCTGCACAAATCTCAAATAGCTGGCATCTGTGTGTGCAAGGGGTTGAGGAACCCTGACCACTGAGGTCCTCCCAGCATGCTCTTGTGCTGGCCTGAGAGCCCAGGATGCTTACCTTTGGCAGGGAGGTGGAAGGCCCAGAAAACAGACAGAGGTAGAACCTGAAACAAGGCAGGGCGACGTGAAACCTGGCTCACAAAACACAAGTCCTTGTCCTGCATCTTTGTGGCCCTGCCCACCTACCCAGCATTCCTGTCCACTCAGTAGCCTGCTGTGTAGACAGCTCTTGGGCCCGGCACCCACTGTGTGTGCACACATGAAGTCGAGGTCCCCCTCATGCTTTGACAGGGTCTCTCACCATCCTCAAGCTCACCATGCAGGCTACACTGGCTAGCCAGCGGTTCTCCAGGGTCTGCCTGTTCCCATCTCCCCAGCGCCTCATAGGGATTACACACAAGCACCACCATGCCTGGCCTTTTACACTGGTGCTGGGAACGGGAGCTCAGGCCCTCATGCTTGCAGAGCAGGCGCTCCACCCACCCAGCCATCACCCCCACCCCTGGCACTTACTTCTTTGCTTTGGCACTGTTGGGGAAGTCCACCACCACGCCACCAGTAAAGCCCGCCCTCGTGGCCTGGGTTGTGATCAGCTCCAGCTGAAGGGAGAAGACGGAGGGGTGGGAGGGACAGACGCTCTAGAGGTCCTCAGCTCTCACTGGTCAGAATCTAAAGCATATTCTAACTAGACCTTCCCGACTCACAGGCCCCAAAAGCTACCAAGGCAGAGTGAGCTATAAGCAGACTCAGCAGCCCCACCCTGAGGAGGGGATGTCAGAACAAAGCAGTTCTGCTGTCCCCACGCTCTGGTCCAGGGACCCATCGCCACACCCTCGGGAAACTAGATCAGACTCAGGTATTGTGTTACTTCTCAGGGACCTGCAGGTTACTGTCATTCTAAGCCTAACTCACACCACCTAAGGCAGGAGGTCCTTAGCCGGCCCCTCTCTACTGTGGGTTATGGAGATGTGTAACATCACAGCACATCCTGTAACACCCAGTGCTGGCTCTCAGGGATGGAGGCCAGGCCCTCATGTGTACACTAAGTGAGCACTCGACCACTGAGCCACACCCCAGCCTCCCACCATCTCATCTGTCAACAGCCCAGCCTCCCCCACAGACGCGCCCCTCTCAGGAAGCCGCCTGGGATCACTGCCACCATCACTAGGGCGCTCCTTCCCTCTTTCCCTCCCGCCAAGCCGCAAGAGCTCCTTGGTCCTGCCAGTGGCAGGAAGGAGCTGAGTGGAGAGGGCTGCTCTACACCCCCTTCCCACAGATACAGCTAAGCTGCTCACCTGCTCCGAGTTCTCAGGGTACAGCTGCAAGACGGCTCGGGCCCCGTGGGCCTGGAAGCAACAGAAACGTCATGACCACACAAGCACTCAAGCGATCGTGACCACTGCACGCCTTCACTCACTGGATATTTGCAGAGCTCCCATCACAGGCAAGGCTCTGAACATCAGTCATCAGAACAAGCCTCCTGAACCGGGGCACTTGCTGGTAAAGCAGTCATCTAACTTAGAGTTGAGGAAGTGACAAAGGAACAAGAAAGGTGCATGCCTGTAGCCCAAGCCTTTGGGAGGCAGAGGCAGGAGGATCACGATATGCTCAAGCCCAGCCTCGTCTACACAGAAAATCCTTGTCTCAAAAGGAAAAGGACAAGAAACAAGAATTACCCAGCAAGGGTTGGGATCGAAGATGTGCACCACAATGCCAGCCATGAAATTTCTTTTGACTAAAAAAGTGACAGTAGCCGGGCAGTGGTGGTGCATGCCTTTAATCCCAGCACTCGGGAGGCAGAGGCAGGCGAATCTCTGTGAGTTCGAGGCTGGGCTGGACCGACAGCCTCCAAAACAATACAGA